CGGGATGGAGCAGCTGAGTTCTGCATGTGGCTGTTGCAGGGTAGCAGGATCAGGCTGTGCATGCAGGCTGTGCTCCCTAATGGGCTGTGATCACAAAGGGTGGTCCCCCAGTCCTGGTGCCTATGCTGTGCTTACTGCCCTCGCAATCAGGGACCTCACCATAGAAAATACAGCTTGGTTTTCAGCTGCATCAGTTTTCTGATCACATAAAGAGATGTGTAGGATAGCGCAGTCCTCCTGGGAAAGAAACAGCAGGCCTGCAGGTCTTACCCTGCAGTGTAAACTACAATTTTTGCCATGATGCTTTTGCTCTCCATTTGCAGCATGTACTTTCTGCCTTGTTGAGCTTCCCATCCAGTTTCTCTGAAAGACAACAGCAGGGCCCGTGCTGATTTCAGGAACAGCCAGTTCCCTGCCAGGATTTGGTGTGGCACAGCGCAAGGACCAGCCTCCGTACCTGGCCTGTCCATGCTCCCCCTCACCTGTGAGGGGGCTGTGGGGGGCACCAGGGCTCCTTTCCCTCATTTTGCAGGGGAGAGGAGGTCAATGTCCTGGCAAGCACCACTTCATGCAGGTAGCACCCACATGCTGCAGACAGCTTTGAATTAATAAGAAAAATGTGTCCAGGTCCCATTTGCAGGTTCCCCGAAAGCTTTTTCTGCTTGACTACTTACTCTCAGCAGCATTTGGATATGCATGTATGACAGGTTGAATCAAATGTTTGTTGTCTGGACCTTTGAGCACAGGGAGCCTGGCACTGGTGGGGCAAAGGGCAGCGGACAGGGCTGCACACACAAAACGGAGCAGGCACGAGCAAGAGGCAGCGGGGCAGCTCCCCTGACTTCAGCCAGCAGAATCGTGGCTTCACTTGCCCATCACAGGAGGGAAGGGCATCTCCAGGAGATGCCTGTGTCTGACACACTGCATCAGTCATCCATGTAGAGGGACCCATTCTCTTCTGCTGGCTTTAGAGGGGGCCACAGGGATTACCACTGCCCTGCACGTTGAAGCCTGGAGACAGGTGGAGGGAACTCTGCCTTCTCCATCTATACCAAGTCCAAAGGTTTGATGCTTTACAGCTCAGCACCATGGCCTCTTCTGTTTTCAATGCTGAGGAATACTGGCCAGGGGTCTTTGGGTTCAAAATCCCTTCATTAGGCTGGATGTGGTGTTGAAATGTGGAGCCTGAAATCTTTTGAGTCCATGACCTACCACACCAACCACATGCCATGAGACAGGTAATGATGCTGTCCTATAAGCAAGGCAAAAAGAAAGGTTTTGGGTGTTCTGGACAGAAAACATGCTGCTGCTCTACCAGAAGAGCTAGAATTCTTTGTTGAATACAGAAAATGAAATTTCAGTTTGAACTGCCAACAGTGCTCATTTGCAGGCATCAAGACTTTAGTGCTTGGGTCTCTGGACATTTCTCCACTGAGGGTGCACGTAGCAGATGGAGCTGCCAGACAGTAATGGACAGAGAACTGAACTTCAGCATCATGTTCAGCCTCTAGAGGAATTCAGTGCAGGTGCACTGAACAACAGCTGAAAGCATAAGCCCCCAGGGCATGTGTTTGATATGCCCTGTAGAGCCCAGCACACCATTTGCTACCATTATCAATAGCAGAAGCATTTCTTGAGAGGTTTTCCTCTTCTCTCAGATAATTCTGCATCTTCTGAGAATTCTGAGAAACAACACACACTTTTCTCAGTGCTCTTTCCTCGGCCACAGAATAGTCAGACCTCTGCACAGCATCCTCAGGCTCTCTTCAGAGAGGCAGCTGAAGGTGGGTGTCAAATACTTTCAACAGTAGCTCTTAAGTAACTACAAAAATACTCGGTTTTTCAACAACAGCATAAGCAACATTTTCATTTTTTTGAAATGGAGATTTTATTTCTTGCTGTAACACACCATAAATTGCATTAGGGAGTCTGATAACTTCTTGATTTGTTATTTTGGTGGGTTTTGTGTTTTATTGTCAGATGCACATGGTCTTATAAGGGGTTTCAGTCTGTGTCACAACTGGAAGCCTTAGCACACACCACATGATATTTAAAGAGGATCTTGTCACAAAAAAAACCCAAAAACAGTATCAGAGTCAACTCTGCAGGACTTGCAAGTAAAAGAAAAATGTATCATCAGAGTGTAACAGACATTTCTTGAATCAAGAGAAGGTCATCTGGCTCATCTCCTGGACATTTCATTTCATCATGAAGGATTCTTAACTGATTCTTTCATTTGTTCCAGGAACCTTGTTAGGGAGAGTGTGATGTAGCTTTTGCTCCATATGTGACATTGAGTCTGTTCCAAATTCAGCTTACACACCCTCAAAAATATCTGTGATTTTGTATAAGGTTTTAATTACATCTTAAAGTTCTTTGTTTGAATAATAAATGCTGTAATTGAACATTTCAATTAAAAAGATCTCTTACATAAGCTTAAGTCAAACCTTGCAGCCCTGCAGACATAATTCCATTCTTCAGCCAGGGAACAGGAGCAGGAGCAAGGCAGTCAGCCACACTCAATTTCTCTGCCAATGTCTCAGGTGTGACCTTTAAGGACAGCTTTTAAGGGCAGAGAAGAGTTTAGGCTTCCTCATTATCATTCCAAGAAAATGTAATTTCCTATTATCACCGCAGAAAACACAGGGAGCACCGGTGAGGGTCGGTGTGACTGCAGCACACAGAGCTGGCCCCTCTCTCTGGCTGGCCTTCTGTGGGTGAGCTGTGGCACCTGCAGGAAATCCATCCAGCTCCTTGGGGCTCATCCCTCACAGAGCCTTCCCCAGTGCAGGAGGAGCTGACGGGCAGGGCAAGGAGGCTGGTCACATTCAGGTTCAAACGAACTGAATTCCTGGGGACAGCCTGGAACACTGCAGCAGTGATGACAGTGATGGCCATGCCCTTATGCTTTCCTGGCGGCTCAGGACTGGCTCTCCCTTCCCTGGCTGACTTGGCATTCACACTGTCAGCCTTGGACAGGATATTCATGTCCCAGACATTAATGACTATAATGCATTAACTGGCTGATCTGCACAACTGCCTCAGGCATGCCCTGTGCTGGTCTGCTGGGAGGGGAACTTCATGGCCTTGCTGGAATTTGCTGTGCTTCAGGAAGTTGAGGAACATCTGGGGGTGCAGCCCTTGGGGCTCTCCTGTGGTCAGAAGCGGGTGCTCAGCACACACATTGCCCACTCTGGAGAAGCAGCACAACTTCAAGAGAAGAACCAAGAGAATGAGCTCTTGAACTCCTTTGGGGAAGAAGATTCCTCATCCTTTTGCAACAAAATACCATATATAGAGAATTACCAGTGAACAGGCAATTCAGTAATTGGCCACCTTCTTTCATCCATTTGATAGAGAGAAAAAAAAGAAAAACATTGAAATAGAGAGATAGAAAATCCAGATCTTTTTTTAGTCTAAAGTTCTTACAGTAAAGTTTATTTTTAAGTCAACTACTAGGCTAAAACAAACCCAGCATCTTCTTTTTTTCTTCACTTTGTTATCAATCCCAAGGTATTATAGGATAAAGGAGAAGGTGACTCATGAATCAGTGTGGCTCTTTAGAGGTATGAGGCAGAGTCTTGGGAGGCTGTGAACTCATCACAGACTTCATCCAGGTGATCACTGGAACCCACCCTTCCCTATATACATTTTCTGTCACCATCAAATGGCCATCTAGGCATCAATTTCAGCTTTTTATCTGACTTCCAGGGGTTTCCCTAATTAAGTGCAATTTGACTAGAAGACATCCTGAATCCATCATTTACATTTCCATGGGTTTAGAACATGAGGTACTACAAAAATATTTAATAAAGGACTTTGGAGACTTTTTTTTTCTCTGCTATTATTATGTTTATCCTACTGTAGGAACACTGTGTCCATTGCATCCCAACCATTACAACTATTTCCTTCCCCCTCTTGAAAATCCATCATCTTGGGCCTTGTATATACAGCAGGTTCCAGAGTAGGGAAGAATTGTACTGTACCACTGAAACAGTTGCTGAAGCAGAACTCCCCTAGCTGACCAACCCCTCAGAATAATAATTTTGAGCTCCTGCAGTAATGGAAAAGGAGAAACTGTTGAGTCTGTGATGACATGCCCCAGCACAGACCAGGCACTGGCAGGTTTTTTAGCTAAGAAAACTCCAAATCAATTAGGCACTCCCTTTAAAACTCTTATCTGTGCAGCATTTGTTATCTTCACTCCAGTGATGATGTCATTTTACTGGTTCCCCTAGGACCTTAATTGTGACCTACATTTCTACTGTGGATAGCAGTGCAACCAAAACCAGATTTTCATCAACATCCCTCAGTTTTGTCAGTAACACAGGCGTGATATATGATTAGCAGATAAATTTTTAATTTAGAAAAAGGTGGGAAAAAAGGTAGAAATCTAACCGTGCTTTTGAAGGCCACATTTAATGAACCTGATCCCATTTTACATCAAGTCCAGACCATTTTTCTAGGTTGCTTTCTGTGTAAAAATTCTCATGTGTCAAGTCTATGTGTGAGCAGCTTGTGAGACACCTCCCAGTACTACAACACAAAGGTCCCACTGCATGTGCTACTTGAGTGGTCCCAGTTCTGAGGGCTGGCTTGGTTGTGTAATCTCTTACGTACTTTCAGGTTGAATTTTTTGTTGCCTCATTTCCCTATGTCTCTCAGCACGTCTTCTAACTTCCTTTTGTTTTAGTCTTGCCATCAGCATTTTCTTTGCTCACCTCACCAAAGTGCCTGTTTGCATTCTTTGGAAAATAACTATTTATCTTTCAGAATACTCAACACCACAGACTTATCTTCCCTAAAACTTAAACTGTTTCTATAGCCCAGCTGTGCAACCTGCTGTTTTGTTGGGGCTATAGCATACAATGAATTTCAAGCGTGACAAAAATAGTCTGGAAAAAGATGGATAGTCTACAATATTTGCTATGCAAATGTTAGACTTCTTTAATACTACTAATAAGCAGCAGGAAGTAAAATCCATCCTCTTTCCTTGGCAGGTCAAGCTATGCTGGACTTGCAGAATGACCATCAACCTGCTTCATTTTGGAGAAGGAACTTGCTCATTGCTGATGTTTGCTGCCTTAGATAACAGACCTGCACTTCTGTTTCCCTGTTACAGGGTAGGCACCTTGCTTCGGTAATTTTTTGCTCTAGTGCAAGAGCCTGTCAGCGCTCCATGGTCACTGCTCCTCCACACATGGTGTGATGAGCACGTGGAGGTGAATGATCCGGAGTCACACTGCAATGCCCGACATCCATCACCCAGCTTGGGCGAGAGCTCAGCTGTAAGCACTGAGGAGTTAACCTTCCTCTACCTTGAATGGAACTGTGAAGCCACATAAAGAAAAATTGCCAGGTCTCAAACCACACAAAGATGCTGTGCTGAAGTTCAGTGTTTTCTTTACAAAGCTTACTGGAATCCCCTTTGGCCACCCCAGGAACACCCTTGGGCCAGAAAAATCTCATTCATGAAATGTCACTTGCTGGCAATCCAGAAACAACCTCACTGACCTAGAAGGGTTCTCCAGTTTGTTTGGCAGGAGTGGAATTAGACTGCTGATGCTAAATGGCTTAGCATTAGCAGCAAAACAGCTTAAATACCCTGTCCCAGAAGGTTAAACTGCAATGAGCCTCTTAAAAACCTCTCACTGCAATGGGCAAGCACTTGGCTCTGTGGCACAAGGTTGGGGATCAGTCTTCCTCTTACCTCGTGTGGCTATACAGCAGCAGAAAGCATCAGCATCAGAGGGAAATATTTCCAACAAAGTAACATTTTCATGTTACTTTTGAAATATAAAGAAGTAAAACTATCAAATGTAGACGTAAAAAAACCAAAACCCTAATCAAATTAAATTTGATATTAATGTAAGAATAAGGATATTCTACCTTGATTTATACTTATGCAATTCTTTCCTCTTTAAGGAATCTAAAAAATTCAGCAGCATGGGCTTTTGCAAATTTACACACTGACAAACTAATGTGTCTGTCCTACAGGTCAGTTGGGGTCCACACCAGCCTGCCTGGTATGGTCTGCTGGGATGGCAGCTCAGGTGTGATATTCAGATTTTATGTGGCTGGCACACTCATCTACAGCTAATGGCACCGGCAGTGGATGCTTCCAGTACACAATACCACTTTACTCACCAAAATGTGTTGATTCCTGATGAAATGCTCCAACTTTAAAGCACTACAGTACAGTTTATACAAGGGACCAGGATTAAAATCAAGGAGAAGAAAGACCATAAAGCAAACAAACAGTAAAGGAGAAATTTCTCCCACTCAAAATGATGTTTCCTGCCAGGCAAGAAGAAATGTCTGGTCAACAAAAATAATTTGGTAAGTTGCTTCAGAGAAGCACATCTGAAGTAAAAAAGAAACCACCATAAAACAAACTTAACCCTAAGAAAGAACAAAACAAAAAGAAGGTAGTCTATGGTTCAAAATACTATTTTCTAATCCCTTCTCAAGACAAGCCTCAGACATGTAATCTAGGGCATGACATAATTTTAAGTTCTGTCCTTGAAACCTTTTTCCCCTCTTCCTCCCTGTCAGGAGCCATACAAAGTAATGGGTCTGCAAAGAATTACAGCATTCCAGCATCAATTAGCTGAGTTGGGGGGAACCTGTTTCAGCTTCCTTCAAGGCTACTTTCAGCAGCCACTATAGCCTGGTAACATCTGGAGGCCTTGACAGGAAGGCAAAACAACCATCTGAGCAGTGACCTTAAAAGGTTTCTGGGAAAAAATTATTTTCTGAAAAAAAAAAAAAAAAAAAAGTCTGCAGAGCAGCTCTACCAGAAAGTTCTTCAAAGATATCTAAAACTGCCTTGTTTGCTAACAGGAACCTTGGGTGTTCCAGAAATGTGGGTTCCTGAGAGGCCAAGCAAAACTGTGTGGCTTGCAGAGTGAACCTCCAAAGCCCTTAGGAACTCCTACTTTCAAGCCATAATTGTTGCTGTATTTTGCCTGAGACCAGAATCTGAAGTTGTCATTTTCTCCCTAGTTCTAAAAAAGCAATTTGTCATGTGGCATGGATGATTTGGCTCTACCCTGTATTTCCCTGCTAGTAACTGTTAGCCCACTGGAAAACCAGAAGTGTATGATAAGGGACACCCAGTCAGAGCCTCACTCCAGCCAGGGCTGATGGAATGGCTCGTGCCCCTTGTGTCCCTGCTCATCTGTGAAGCAAATCCACACCTCCAGGATAATTTGTTCTGTTTCAAGCCCACTGTTAAAAATAGAAGTGCTTTGCATCTATTGAAGCTACACCTCAGCCTCGCTGAGGAGAGCGGGTAATTTGACTCTCAGCTCCCAAGAACTGGTGCTAATACGAAGTGCTGACTCCAGGAAAATCACACCAACCCTGAGACCAAACCAGGAGCTGCCTCAGCTTTCCTGCTTTCAGCTGGAAACTGAATTACATGGGACAGAAAGTCTTCAGAACATTTTTTTGTCACTCATCTCTCAAAAGCAGAGTTTGGAGAGAGCAGAGCACAATGTAAAGAACACTGAATTGAGCTTAATTATCTGTATTCATATTGAAGTTGTGTCTTATCATGAATATTTCTTCAAAGATCAAGTAGTTGCCATGGCACTTAACACTTGGTAGGTTTAAAAAAAGGGTTTCCTTTTTGTTGTTATTTCAAATCCAGCTACAAGAGGACAAAAAAAGAGAACAATCCTTAGGACAAATGATTTTGTTACAGAAGAATAAACAAATACTGTAGAATTCATAACCCCAAGAGTTGAAAAGCATGCTTGGGTCTCATTCATCACAACTAGCAGCTCCTACAATGTACATCTAACAGGCAATGCCAGTTTTTCAAAGGGTTGGGTAGGCAAAACATTATTTTAAGTGAAGTCCATAGGATTAACGCAAGGTCTCTGAATACAGTTCAAAGGTAACAGTGATTGTTTAGAACAGTTCCCTTCACATGAGTTTTGAGGCACCTTAAAACCATACCAGTAACAAAAAAATTCCTGGGTTTAAAGTGTATTTTGAGTAATCATTTTCAGAAAGGCTGAAATTCCTTAGCTTTCAACAGATTTTAACTGTACTTTGGAAGAAAATAAAACTAGTTACCATTAAAAAAAAATCCCAAGAGAGTTGGGAAAAGTGGCTACATCTTGACGTTCAATAAATTGTCTTATTCAAAGGGCTGTCTGTCCTTTGTTCCATCCTCTGTCCAGAACCAGGGCATACCAGCCTGCCAGGACCTGGCTGGGCTGTGATGTAGTGGCAATAAGGAATCCTACCCCACACTGCCTGCTGCACAGCAGAGTCACCTGCCTTCCCACAGGTGCTACCTGGGCTGTCAGGGCTGCTCCTGCAGCAGCCTGAACGTGCACCTTTAAAGCTTCTGCATGGCCACGCCGTCATCCTGGGAGGTTTCCCCATCAGAGGGGCACAAGGCTGCCCCAGGTGCAGTGAGGGGCTTCCATGCAGACACCCTCAATCCCTCCTGGCTTCACCTGTTCAAGCTGTGCTGCCCAGCCCTCGTCTGCCCTGTGCAGGCACATCCAGAGGAGGGTGTGGTGTCAGTCCTGCACTCACAGCATGTCAGGCCCAGAGAAGCATTTTCTGCTCAGCAAAGCAGGAGGCAGCACTGCCACACTCCAGGGGCTTCTGAGTCAGAGCAAAGACTGAAAACATGTTTGTAGTAAGAGAAGGCTGACCACTCAATTCAGGACATTTTCCATCATCACATATTGTAGATCACTTGAGTGGAAGAATGGGGGAAATGAAGACTCCATGTGAACCTTCTGTGGTATTTAAAACATCTGCATAACTACTGAGATCAGAGAAGGCTTTCTTAAACAAAACCCACCACACCATTCAGTGACCTATGTAAAGATACATTCATATTTTGTGTTTAAAGGCACAAGAGTAAGGTATTTCTTATGCTGTGTTCCACTTGCATGATTGTATGTGCTTCTTAATTTTCAGGAATACCTTGACTTTTCCAGGCACACGGAATTACTTCACAGAACCCTATTTCTCAAAACTTTCTTTACAGTTGTATAAAGGATTAAAGAAAAAAAAAAAAGGCATTTTCAAGGCACATTATTTCATCCAGTGTAAGTATTTACCATGGTAGCTGAAAGCCACATCCTTTCAGTAAGGGAAGCAGGCAATGTCTTCATTAAAGTGTCTCCAAGGCAGAACTCACATATGCTACAGAGATGTGCTCCTTTCTAAAAGTGGATCACATATCCCCACTGGAATTTTTTCAGTCATGGTCTGTCAACTTCCCTTGCTTCCAGACTGGAATGCAGCCCTTGTTTTGTAAATGTATTTGATTACTGCTTTTTTCCTTTTGACAAGTGCTTTCATGTATTAAAGAAGTCATTGTTACTTTTTCCCTGGTGACTGAGAGATGCACTGAGCTCTCCTCAGAAAGCCTTGTTAACCTCTGCCCTCCATACACTTCCCTTTCTTCTGGTCTTAATCAGATTCTAATTTTTATTATGTACTGTAACAGATTATCACCTTCCAATTCTAGGAATGGTGACTATGACCCTAACTACATTTATAAAGGTGTAAAATTATCCTAACCACCTTTTTTACCAATCTTGATCCTTAAATACCAGAATAAAGGACTCAGATACTTCTGGAAATGGAACATCATGATCCAAATGCAATGATGTACATTTTTTTTTTAAACCCAGGAATACCTAATTTGTTAAAGTAAGATCTGTAACTTGCTATAGTCAATTTCACGTGCAAACGGGTAAGGCCACTGAGATCATGTTTAGTGAGGTGGTTCAACTGTTTCCTCTAGTATCAAGATCAACATGGTAACTTTTCACCCCGGTAGACTATGTAAACCTATAAAATACTTACACTGTGCTTAGAGGTGCAGCTCAGTCAAGAAAAAGCCACTGAAGCTTCCCTCATGTTGGCTATGTAAGTAGAGCATGAATATTTTAATTCCTTTACTTTCCAAGATCCTCAGTACTTGACAGGGATATGACAGTTTGAAAATCAGTCTCAATTTCCCTGTAACTATTTCAGTTTCACACTAAGTATCCACAAATGCCATAGTTAGTCTGAATACCACGGTGCACACCTCCTAGGGATGGGGAATACAAGAGCATCATTGCTTCATCACTGGCTTTTCCACAAACTGAGCTGTAGTGTCAGGATCCTCTGGACAATATGGAGGCTCCTGCTCAGTTCTCCTTTAAAGACTCAGCAGTAGCTAGTGAGAGTTTTCCATATAAATAAAACTATTCTAAAAGGTCAGCTCTTAAAGAAGTTTTTATGCCTTTTGCTGTGAGTCTGGGGACCATCAATTTTAAGGTATCTCCAGAGTTCCAGTCATGAACAGTGAGAAAGCTCAAGCACCTAGGAGTTGTAAACTAATTAATTAGAGCAATCTTAAAATCACATATGGGGTATTCAATCTCAATTTCCCTAAAATGAACTAAATACTTAAATGTGTATTAAAATTTTCCATAATAGAAATACACTTTCATATTGAATTTCTGTCTAGTATTGCCATTCCTCTTAAAGGTGTAGGAAGAGAAATGACATGAAATCTACATCAAAGGTAGTTGAAAAGTCCATTCATAAAACTTTTATTCCACTTACATCAACTTAATACACATGGTCTGAACAGTTATGCTTGGATTGTTCATGAAAATTTCATAAGACATTAAACAAAGCTAGCCATCATCTCAAGTTATTTCCCTGTTAACTATTTTTACAGCACATGCATGTTAGGCAAGTATCAAAAAAAAAATCACAAAAGCAAAAAACCTAAAAAAGTTAAATACATGGGTTTTTGTTTTACTGCTGTGCTCGATATACAGTGTCATTATGAATATCAAGCAATTCATTTTTTACTGCATCTTTACTTGTACATTTGTTCTTAGGTTGCTTAAACCATTTAAATACAAATAAAATGTGTAGCAAAAATAATGAAAGCAACAGCAGATAACTTTACAAATAATGGAATGTGAACCGTTTCTCTGTCCTTCTCTAGAGAAAGCTGACTGGGTTATCAAACTGTCTTAAGGAACACTTCAACTGCAATCAAAGATGTACACTTGATTGGAATATTCCACAGATGTCACATGTTCCCCTGACATGCAATATCTATGGGACATCAGTTTATTCGCAGCCATGTGTGCTCCAGCTTGGATATTCAGACTAACTACACCTGTGGATGCAACATTGATTATCCCTTTTTTTCCATCGTGACAGACCAATATGCAAGCAGTCATCTTTGCCTGACATAGAAAGCTGTTTTAACACTGGCCTTGTGGGAAGCCACAATGTACCAAAAGTACTATGCCAAACATGTAAAACTTGTATAAAAATTTCACAACCCTATATTGGCCACCTCAGATGAAAACAGATAAATTCCCCAAATGTTAACTGGCTCTATTCCCCTAATATTAAACAAAACCACATGGGAAATATAGAAATCCAAATAGAAGTAACATAAACCTGTCAAATCGTAAACAAAAACTATTTGTGGGACAGCATGGATGACAAATGGTCTACTGTTTAAATTTCAGAATGAGGCAGATGGAAGTTGGAAGGCTGGTTAATTCTCCCCTCCTTCTCCTGCTTCGGCTTCATCTCCCTGGGTATCCGATGTCCACAACTGTTTAGGAAAGAAAAGAGTAACAGACACTTTATTATACATTTATTACTAATAATTAATAAGTAATTTTTAGAAAGAAGGTCTATATCTTAATCAGAACAACTTCTAAGAGGTCCTAGTAAGCACTGTGGAAAAAGAAAAGGCACACAGTAACATGAATCTATTTCTTGGCTATTTCAAGATGGAAATTCAGTTCTAGGTGACCCAACCCTACACTGCATTTAATGACGAAGTTTATGAACAGTCAAAACCCAAGTATCTTACTCACAGGGTTCACTAAAATACAACTAACAAGCAGGCAAGATCTACTGAGCAGGTAAGTGAGAATCAGGAACTAATGGCAATTTCTTTCTCCTCAATCAAGTTTTACATGCCTTTCTCAAGGAAAAGCTTCAGTAAAAGTATCTCTCCACATCCAATGCTACAGCAAATGTTACAAGGTTTTCTCTGTTTTTTAAACCCCCAAATATTTCATCAAAATCTCTATCCCTTGGCTCTGTTCAGGTAGTTGTGCTCTCCTTCAGCAACTTTCAGAACACTGAGCTGCCAACTTGGCGGGCAGGGGAAGGATAGAAGAAAATCAGGCTAAGCATGCACTATGCACAAAATGTTATTTTCAGCTCCATAAAATCATACTAAGGAACCATATATCAAGATTAAGTACCAGCTAAGGAAACTGAGCATCAGTTCCAGAGCAACAGTCAGGGCCAACAAATTATTTTGTGAACTGAGTATCTCCATGCTGACTGCTTCCAAACTATTCCTAGCCCAATATAATTTGTCATCTCTCATTTTATGGAGTTAGAGAAGCATTAACCAAATCATTCATGTTCCATAGTATAAGGTGGTAAAACATAAAACCAACTAATTCTCTCCACTGACAGTGCTATAACACCGAAGTCTTACAGAACGCCTTTATTTTTAAAATCCATCAGGAACATTTAATGCTTTCAGGAGCAGAAGGCAACAGTGAAACGAAGACCAGTACAAGACCAGTAGCCTTGTCCTTGCTCTGAACATAATGTATGGTATCTGCACTTAATCTTCCTTGCTGAAGGCATTAAGCAACAAGTTATTTTACTGAAGATAACAGCACACCAGTAGTCTGTTTCTAGATCTGCTCTGCAATCTTTAGTATATTATTATATTACTACATTAGTCTCAATTTCAGTGCTATTCTTGTAACAAAAGTTAGCAAGAACAGTTCTATCATATTTTATCAGAATTCAGAAATCAGAGGTTTCTATCCTAAATCAACACCCCTAGAATACAGTGACAACAGGACTGTAGGATGGAAAAGACCTTCAGGATCATACAGTCCAACCATTAATACTGCCAAGTCCACCATGTCCCCAAATACCACATCTACACAAATTAATGCTTTCAGGAATGGTGACTCAACCACTTCCCTGGGCCACCTTGCTTAACAACCCTTTTAGTGATGAAAATTTTTCTCATATCCAATCTAAAATACACATTCA